TAGAAACCTCAGCAATAAGTTTGTTTAAAAAGTGTAGCATATTTTTACTAAGGTTTTAGAAAAAATTTTAAAAATGTGAATTCATAGATTTGTGTAATTTACGAAGATCATATGATAAAATTTTAGACGTGACATATCGTGTGACTGATATAGTTGATAAATTGATGATCATCTATCTAAACATAGGTGCGGAACTGTAGTATAGCGGACACCATTGGCAAAATTTCCGAAAAGTCACATCACATGATCACATGATGTGCTTGGTTTTTTCCATCGAGTAAGTCTACGGACACCTATCAGATCATGTGAACACCTACCAAATCGGGAGGTCGTCTAAAGCCGGGTAGTCACGTGACCCCAAGCCACAGTGGTGGTGGCTTATATCAGCCACAGCCACAAACCCTAAGTGGCGTATGCCACATAGTTAAAGCCAGGTAGCTAAAGCCGGGTAGCTAAAGCCGGGTAGCTAAAGCCAGGTAGCTAAAGCCAGGTAGCTAAAGCCAGGTAGCTAAAACCAGGTAGCTAAAACCGGGTAGCTAAAGCCGGGTAGCTAAAGCCGGGTAGCTAAAGCCGGGTAGCTAAAGCCGGATAGCTAAAGCCGGGTAGCTAAAACTGGGTAGCTAAAGCCGGGTAGCTAAAACTGGGTAGCTAAAGCCGGGTAGCTAAAACTGGGTAGCTAAAGCCGGTCGCTAATCCGGGTAGCTAAAGTCTCAAGTAGAAACGTTCTTAACAATGAGAAAATGATGATGATTCACAATCATACAGATTAGCAAATTAAAGTTGTAAATGTTTATCATGTGCTGACAGTCTGAATTAATATGTTCAGAAACTGAACATGTACGATGAAAGCTATCAATTTAATCTGTTTCGACACTGGGTAAGATTGTACATACCATGTTGCAAAATTCAAAAACGCCCCTATCGCCAGTCATTAATTTATAACTGTTATTAATTTAAGTTGATTCAAACATTTTGTTAGCATCAAGTTTACTAAGATATATCTTGGGTGTTAAAGCACCATAATTGCTACAGTATAAAAGTGTTAAGGCAAATGGTATTTAGTGCACTAAGTGCGCTGTGCTTCAAAAAATCCTTATCTTCTAATCTTTTAAGTTTGATTTTACCCGCAAAATTTTATTAACACTATTATTTTTAATTAGCATCATTAAATATATTTACCCCTTATATTCAAAATTAGCTGTATCAGCAATAAAAATAGTTGAATTCATATTTCCATGAGTAGTATAATGAAGACCAGTATGACCATAATGTCTTGTGCACTAACAATTATAGTCAACCTTGATTAATATAGAATACTGAAAATAATATTCACATTAAACCAGAATACTAACATAATAATTGCATAAAGGACATTTTACTTCACAGGTATGCATTGCATTTTCTTCATGGATATGTGATCCATCGTGAAAAGTTTTATCTGCTGGAATCTTTTTGCAACATTGTAGTCTTTTTTTGGTCTGGACGTACTAAAAAATTAAAGTCAATTGGTGGTAAAATAAATTCAATTAATAAGTGAAATATTTTATAGTAGTGTTGATACTACCTTTGTAAATTTAATATCTTCACGCTTGCCCTTATAAACTGCATTCTTTTCCTCTATAATTTGTGTATGACATATTCCCAGACTTTCACTATTTTGTAAAATTTAATTAATTGTATAATAGAATTAAATATTTGTAATTAAAGTGAATACTTAAGCTTCATACCATTTTTCTAGGCATGGGTGCTCATTGCTAAAAAATATATATATATATTTGATATAAATAACATTTCTTTTAAAATTTATGAAATTTGAGTTAAATATAAAATTTACCCGCATAGATGTTTAATGTCGACTCCTTCCAATGCATGATGATGATTGTTGCTTTTACATTTGTTCATGCATTTTGGCATTGGGTAAGGCATAGGACATGATTCGCTTTCACAGCAGTGTTCGTTCTCATTATGTTCTTTATCATATGGCAGAACACAATAATTTGGGCATTTATATTGCGCACGTTCGGTATTTATTTTTAACGAACATTCTTCACCACATAGGTGAACTGAATTGCACTTATGTTTCGTTTCCTCTGAGTGATCTACTTCATTCATACAATATCGGCTGCAATTTTTTTTATTGGATAGATAGCAAGGTTCTCCACATTCATGTCGCTAAAAAAAGTATGATATTTAAATATGTTTGTTATATTTGTATTAAAATATTGTAAAAATAGCTTACAATTTTGTCACAAATATGTTTTCCATCATGTCCACCTTCATGTTTACATACTCCTTCTGGATTCTGATCGGAATGTTTGTCATCAAATTGGCAAATAAAATGACACTTGTGATCCGTAAGACAGTTATGATCTCTATTGTGATCTTTTTGTTTGTGGTCTCGTTGTTTTAGGCAATGTAGCTTACATATGGAACATCTGATGCCACACAAGTTCCAAAAAACCATAAATTTGCTGATCTCTTGCAATAATAAATTGTTTCCCTGAATGATATGGGAGTTATCTTGCGAAAAGTTTTTGGTATTTTGTTTATACCATAATTTAACTCTATTAATACGCCTTTTGACTATACAATCTAAAAAGATACAAAGATTATTAAACCAAGTTTCATCTTTTGCTGTATCCTCACGTTTCATAATGTGCTCTCCAAAAAATTTAATTAAAATTTTTGATATATCAACCAAGTCAGAATCTTCATTTTTATATAGCAAAAGTTGTGAATCTTTGGGAAGTGGCGAACTGATTATTTTATTTTTAAGATCCTCAGATAATACAAACTTTGAATTATTGTGTAATAACTCGTTATTATCTTCATGCACTTTGAAAATATCATCAGGTATTTCGGATCCAGTTGAACGATCCTAATTAAATTTACAATTAATATGCGAACATATTATTTTAAATCAGCAAGTGGTTATCAGACACGAAACTGCAAAAACTAATAATTATTTTACCTTAGCTCATGAATAAATGGCTCCAATTGTTCAATACCCATATTTATGGCAGTATTAAGTAATCTTTTAAGAATAGAAACACGCCTATAAATAATAGCTTCATTTAACGGTTTCCAATCACCAACCTTAAATAGAATATTTTGAGATTTACTTTATTAGCTCAAAATAAAACTTTATATAACACAATTAATATAGGATACCATTAATTTTGCTAGCATTGTCTTTATATAGTTAACAAAATAATTTGCATTGTCATATGTAGATTCTCTTTCATCAAGTTTCATTTTTACTTTTTCTAAAGTAGTGTACCAAGTCATTTCATTAAACATTGGCCATGCGTATATATCAACTTCCCCAGAATAAATTCTACTAATAAAGTTATCTATGCCTTCCTATAAAATAAGGTTTAAATGTTAATAGTAAAATCAATAGATTTCAAAATATCTGCATTCTCATAACTTAAATACCTTAGCAACAATTTGTTGAAATTTTTGTTCAAATTCTTTTTTAATATCTTTTCGAGCAGGTTTAGGAACATCTTTAATTATCATGCATAATCGAGCCTAAATGAATCATTGTTATTTAACAAGGTTATTTAATTAGTAAACTGAATAAGTAGTTGAAAGAATTATATACTTTAAAGATTTTAGAATCATTCTTCAATTGATTGGCGCCATTTTGAAAGCTTCGAAATGTTGATGACATTTGTCGGTCAATTACAAAACGATTTTTGAAAAGTATCATATTGCTCAGACTTGCATTAAGTAGAGTTAAAAGGAGATCTTTATAATAAACAGTTTAGTTTAATGTTTAATAATCACTAGAAATGCTTTAATGCAAAAAATCATACCTTCTTGCGGATGACGTTCTGAAGATCCTATTCCTTCAAAATCCAATGCCACATAAATAACTTCTTCTGTGATAGCTATTAATAGTTTATTATTAATGAAATATAAAACAAACATGTTTTGTAGATAAAACAACGTATCAAATAATTACATAACGACATCCATGCGCCTTCCGTACATCGCTATAATATATTTACTTTAGTAAAGCTTTATTAAGGATAAACTTTAATTGGGACAAATACAGACCATTGCTGATCCATCAAAGTTTGTTTCTACAAGCTTTAATTAAATTTAAATTAATATTAAAAATAATGAAACAAATCGAAAACCAATATTATTTAAATTATGTATAGTACATGATTCATTAAATATGATTTTCCACAGCTCTGTTCACCCATTGAGGATACTGCTTTAATCTTTCGATCATCATAATATTTAAAAATTCCCTCATACCATCCAAATGATATTTTATAGCTTATTTTTTCTGTTTGATCTTCATCATCATTTTCAGTATTTATAATGTAATTTTCAGGTGCATCAAGACCATTATAAAGTGGAATTAATTTGTTTTCTCTAGCAATTGCTATTTGAATAGGTACTAAACAGCATAGCTATTTTTATAAGTTAATAATATTAATAGCTGCTGTAGAAAAAATAATTGACAAATGTGTAATATGAAATTTTATAACTTAACCTGAATTATCCATTCGCCAAGCGGAATTTGGGATACATTTTGTCCAATAATAGAAGATCTTGATAATACTCAACATTAATTTTAAATCGACTCAATATAGTGGCAGGCTTTTGAGTTGATATCTTTACTCTATCTAGCATATTAATAATATATTTTTCAAAATTTTCTTTATAACTCAGAGCTTGCTCACAATCCAGAAATATAAATAGTTGTGGTTCCTTGTTTTTTCCATTATCAATACATGGATTGATTGGAAATTTTTCATACGTATCAGCATAAATATCAATTAATCTATTAAGTTTTGTTTTAGGCCAAATTTTAAAAGGATGCCACTTATTTAGAATATTCTCAGAGAAACAACCTTCAATTTTTAAGCGATTGTTAGAAATAATTTCAACAATAAGCTTTTTTTCATTTTCAATAATAATGCAATCCCCAACTTCAAAATTAGAATGAAATCTTGTTTCTTGACCAGTTATTTCTGAATGATTATTCTGGATGTCTAAAGGTTTAACATGTCCAAGTGATAATTTATTAACTCTTTGAAATTGAAACTCCAATCTATCAACAGAAATTTTTATTAAAAAAGATCTAAAACATAATTTGCTTAAGTCAATATAGCTTAAGTGGACCTGCTTGTCACAAATGCAAGAAAAATGACAAAATTTTAATTCTTTTTCATTTAGTTGCAGGTCAATCACTACGAAAAAATATTCCGTTAATAATTTTCAATTTATTAAAAAAATTTACTTCAAAAATTATATTAACCTTTTTGTGCTGGGTTTTCAAATTTTTTAGATTCGGATGCAAAATAAATGTGTGCTTTGCTATTTAAGAGTCCTTCATTCGTAAATGCTATAATGCATGTACCATCTGGAGAGCTCAACACATTCACTGTATTTTCTGGAAATTCTAAGGTTTTTGATTGAGGCTGTTTTATTTTAATATCATAGAATTTCGCATTTCCATTTTTTTCAATAAAACATAATGTTTCTTGGCACTGTATAAAGATAACCTTCAAGATATCAGGAGTATAAATAACCTCAAATGGGTTATCAATTCCGACATAAGGTGCGATTTCAAATGGGCTTTCTTCAAAAAATTTATAAACTAAAAACTATTTGAAGTATATAAAATTAATATAAATTAAACATTAAATACAATTTTCATAATAGTGAAAATAATCTTACCTTAGTAGATTCAGGATCACAAAATAGAATTAACCCTAGTGAATCATCTATATCAATTATTATATTTTGTTGGAGCCTCGTAAAAGCTCTACTTGGTTTCTCATAATTCTGAATCTGCTGAATTTTACCATAAAATAACTCGAGCAAATTTGTAGAATTATTCCAAAGAAAAAGAAAAGTCTTTCGACTTTTTAATTGAAAAATTTTTCTACATATAAATATATTTATGTTAAATGGCCAATTTGTTTCATGTTGATGATATGCAAATGCCTGAAATATCGATTTTTAGATTTTCACTTTTTAACCTCAACTTTGTTGACTGGGGTTGTACTTGATTAACAACTTCTGACCTATTAAAAATCCAAAAATTGCTATTCCAAGTTTTTACTTACTACTTAACAAATTTACTTACTTAAAAATATATTTATTTGGATTAAAACGAAGCTCGCAATTCCTGTTAGGCATAACTTTTCGTTGTAGGTATAAAGTAGGAACATGATTGGGATTTTCAAATAAGTTTTGGGCATCATCAGCATCAATTTGCGTTTCATATATGATCATGCGAATAAATGGTGGTTGTTTTTTAATAAAGTCAAATTTTAATTTAACTTTCTGATTTTTTAATACTTCTATTGAATTAATTTATATAAATAATTAGATTTTTGTTAAGGAAAAATGCTCATTATTAGTGGTAACAGTCACCAACAGCGATTGATAGTGTAATTTATGAATTTAAACACCAGGAATCCGTCAAAGTTTACAAACGTTAAAGTTAGAATAGAGGTAAAATTTTACAAGGAATTTGGTTAAAATACGAAGTCTAAAATTTTTGGAATTTCGATCTAATTGACTTAATTGATTGATCGTACTCTGGTAACTATCACCACGGCATGGGTAACTAATAGATTCACTCCTTACCTAAATTGTTAACTACAAATCTATTTGATCTGTAAATTCCATAGGATTGTTAAAATAATAATTTGTTAGTATTTAACAAAATAAATATATAAATTATTTACCCATTATGATTATATTTTTCCTTAATTTTATCAAAAATTTTTATGAAATAATTTTCCGAGATTTTATTTTTCTCTTTATTTAGATCAGTTTGAAAATTTTTTAGCATTGTTTGAACTGTTTGAGAATCCTTTATAAGTTCGTCTACAGAAAGTAAAAAGTTATCTTTCCACTCGAAATATTCTTTGCGAAACAAATCAATTACTTCATTTTTTAAATTAGGATAAGCATCAAATTCCTTGTTAAAAAGATAATTTTGAACAAATTCTTGATCCGATATTTCAAGTTTATCTTGATCAGAGTTTTTAACTTGCGATAAAATTTTTTGGGGATTAAAGATTGAATATAATCTTTCGCATAATCTTTTGCCTTATTAAATGTCCACTTATTTTCTTTATTTTCGAAGAAATTTTGGTAAATTATACCAATCAAGGGTTGATCAGTAGGCCTTTTATCAGAATTTTGAATTGATAAAAAGCATTTTTTGTATTCTTTCCATTTTGATGAATTTATATCTTTAATAGAACTTTCCAATTTATTAATCACGTCAGAATAATCTTTTTTAATTCTTTCCTGCTCTAAAAACGTATTTCGTTAAGTATTAATGCTGAGAATGCTAAAAATTAATTAAAGTTTATTATTTATAATCACCAGAATCTGCCATAGATAATTCGGAAGGTTCTTCAAATAAACTAATATAAAATAAAGCAAAAAGATAATATTTTGTTATTTACAGACATTCTACAACATTCATCAAAAACATTCTCGCTACACCATAATACAGACAACAATTTCACTGACGAGATATTTGCGACATCAATCAAAAATTATCTTAATAACTCATAGCATTCAAGAATTTAATGTTTTCAGTGATGTTCAAACTAAATTTTTTGATAAATATGATCATTATTGAAATAACAATAATAATAAATAATAACAATTTGATTATATAGGTGCAGGACATTCTCTAAATGCTATGAACTTTAAAGAATATTGACTGATGGTAAACTCTTCATTAACGGATTCGGACAGATCATTTCACTATTAATCCTTTTTATCGATAGGACTTTTACTACAGCAGAATATTTTCTCCAACAGGATTGATTTTTAAGATCAGTTTAGGGCTATATGGGCTGCTGTCAATAGAAATCAAGCAGATCTACATTTGAAAAAAAATCAACACCTTAAATTTCACAGCTCATATCTCGATGAATTTTAGAGGCATCTTGATGATCTAATATTCAAAGAAAGCTTAGATCATAAGCTTTCTTTTGAATATTAAATCATCAAGATGCCTCTAAAATTTATCGAGATATGAGCTGTGAAATTTAAGGTGTTGATTTTTTCCAAATGTAGATCTGCTTGATTTTTATTGACGGCAGCCCATATGATATATTTGATTAAAATAAACTGCTGAAAATTTTTTTTTTTTTTGAAATAAATATCGGGGAAAATACACTGTCTTATCATAAACATAAGTTTTAAATACTTTAATGGCTAAAAATCCCGTCGGACAATGATGTCAAGGAATATTAGTAACCTTATTGAGTGAATACTTGCCCATAAATTTTTGGTAATCTTTCTTCAACCATTTTTTTGGAACAAATATTTTGCAATACTTTCACGAGTTCCATAGATCCCAGTAAAGTTAAGTAATTT